TTTATGTGTGCATTAAGTATCTAAATACTCAGAGAATAATAAAAACTGCCGTCCTCCGTGTGTGTGTGTGTGTGTGTGTGTGTGTCTCTACGGGTGTAATCCTGCAGGTTTGCCGTTCTCTGGCCAGATCTAAACCGGATTACGCTTGACCCGGTCATTAATCTCAGAGTAATCTGGCCCGCCCACAGAGATGAACACTGGACACACTCTCTGAGGGACAGTTCTGCACTCAGTACAGTTTCACATTATTGTTTCACAGTGTTGATATTATAATAAATTATTATTAATATTTCAATTCATAAAACACTTTGCATTGCAAATCTTAAAGTGTTTTATAAATTGAAAAAAAATCATTATTTAAAAATAAATAAAACTTCTGTTTTCATTTTATTCATAATAAAAACTATTAATATTAATAAAATAATAGTAAATATTACAACTTATACAGTTCTTATCATAGCAAATCTTAAATTATAATAAATGAATAATGATAAAATAGTTAACTATAACTTTATTAAAGGGGCTATGTGTAGGTTTTTACCTCTGCGGACTCTGGGGACGGAAAGAAGTGACCAGCCTCCAGCACAACCCAGACACCCACGGAAACTCCTCGTAAGTAAAAAAAAAAAAAAAAGCCTTATCTAGTGCGGCCAACGAGCCTGCGAGAACGAGCATGAGACTGGCTGCAGTTTCTCTAACGGCCACTGGTGTCAGTAACGGTAAGAAATTTCAGAACTATAAAATATAATAATAAAAAATAAATTAGTAAATGCTTATTGCAATATTATAGTGCTTTAGATATTTAAATATATATATTTTTTTATTATTATTATAAATTATTATTTTAATTAATATAATTAAATCACTCTCCAGGCGCTGTACATCCAGTACAGTAACTCTAATTCCAGATTCAGAAGGTCTGCGGTAACCTGAGGTTTAGTGACCTCTGACCTCTACAGCAGCTGCTGTCCATCAGACGGGGTCACAGAGGTCACGACTATCGACCAGCGTCACAGTCTCGTGTTCACAGAACAGCAGTGGGGTTGCTAGGGTATTTTTGGGTGGTTGCTAGGGTGTACTGGATTGTTGCTTAATGCCTGGAGAGAAAGAACAGATCTCCATGTGAATGCCACAGTGTCGGGTACATTTACACCTCTGGGTACATGATGAAGGTCCCTCTGTTGGTCTGGCTGACCCCAGACACTGCTGTGAACTGGCACCGGCTCCACTGCGCTCTGCTTACTCACGGTGCTCACCATGAAACGCTCCAGAACCAAAAGAGAATCTGAAATTACAGAATGAACCCAGACGAGAGGCTGCAAACAGAGAAAAGACACAACAGTCTAAAAATAGAGGACAAACTTGAGTCCAAGTGAGCAGGAGCTGAGACTGCGTGTCTGCATGGAAAACAATTAGTGCTATCAGCTGGAAAAATGCCATATTCTAGCTCTCTTTATACTGAAACAGCTAGAGGGCACCTATAACACCTTAACAATGGACTAGCAATGCTGTAAAAACCACTGTGAAACCCTAACGACCACATAGCAACACCCTAGCAACCACCTATAACACTCTAACCAAATAGAATGCAGTAAAAAACACTCTGAAAACCCTTAAAACTACATAGCAACGCCCTAGCAACCACCCAAAACACTCTAACCAAATAGAAATGCAGTTAAAAACACTCTGAAACACAAACGCCTACATAGCAACGCCCTAGCAACCACCCACAACACTCTAACCAAATAGTAATGCAGGAAAAACACTCTGAAGCCTTTAACATCCACATAGCAACACCCTAGAAACCACCCAACATTCTAAACAACAAATAGGTTTTCACCCAAGTAAAAACACTCTGAAACCTTTAACATCCACATAGCAACGCCCTAGCAACCACTCAAAACACTCTAACCAAATAGAAATGCAGTTAAAAACACTCTGAAACACAAACGCCTACATAGCAACGCCCTAGCAACCACCCACAACACTCTAACCAAATAGTGATGCAGGAAAAACACTCTGAAGCCTTTAACATCCACATAGCAACACCCTAGAAACCACCCAACATTCTAAACAACTTATAGGTTTTTACCCAAGTAAAAACACTCTGAAACCTTTAACATCCACATAGCAACGCCCTAGCAACCACCCAAAACACTCTAACCAATTAGAGAAATGCAGTAAAAACACCCTAAAACACTAACAACTACATAGCAACGCCCTAGCAACCACCCACAACACTCTAACCAAATAGCAATGCAGGAAAAACACTCTGAAGCCTTTAACATCCACATAGCAACACCCTAGAAACCAACCACAACACTCTAACTAAATAGCAATGCAGTAAAAACCACTCTGAAAACCCTAACAACTAGGGGTGGGAATTGGCAAAAATGTCAATAATCAATATTATTGCGATTCTTAACATATTGCGATACAGCAAGTATTGCGATTCGATTCTACAATATATTGCGATTCATGCCCCCCTTATTATTCAAAG